CCTTGAGCTCGTTGCCGATGTCTTCGAGACCTAGGTCTTCTGATAGCCATAGGCATTCGATGTCCTTCTTGGTGTTTTTCGACACCGTGCACTCTGGGAGCTCGTCCTCTGAGAGACTCATGGGCCCGGTAGGGGAGAGGGCAGCGTCGCTGAGACCTATTGGTGAGCTCGGTTGCTCCGAGGCGAACCCGCACAATTTCGGCAATGGACTGAGGGTCCGCGATGCTCCCTCAGAGCCGCCGAATATCCATCCGAAGATTGTTTCGAACGCGAATATTCGGTTCAGCGTCTTTGGGTTCGCGAAGCCTGTCTGCGACGAGTTCCTTACTCCCAGCAAGATGTCGACGTACTCCGATTCGCCGATCTCGACCTGGTCGGCTGCAGGGAAGGGTCCCAGGTTGTCCCTGAGGATTGGGAACTTCGTGCGAGATATGCACTTTAGTTCGATGGCACTGAGCCTGAGGGAATTATTGGGGTCGTATCTGCTTCGGAGTACGATGTCGTGGACTCCGCAGCTGTGAATATTCGTGACCTGGCCACCCGCTGTCGCCATCGCCATGTCGAGATGGGTGGTCGGTTGGGAGTCGAGTTTCCTCGCCATCGCTTCTGTGATGTGGGAGGACTCCGACCCTGGGTCGATGAGAATACGGCATAAGCTGCTGGTTGAGCCGCTCTCGGCGATCACATGGGCTGTCCACAAGAAGGTTGATTCTTCCCTGGGGTCTGCGCTGTGGTTGACTGAAGTCACCCGCGTGGCGGGTTCGTTCTGGTTGATGGGAGCTTTGCTGCAAATTATTGCGTAGTGTTTGGCGTTGCAAAATCGGCAGTTGTTCTTGTGGCCCTCCCTGCAGTTTCTGGCGATGTGCTTCAGTTTCAGACACCGAAGGCAGACTCCGGCTGCTGCCGCCCTCTCGAGGCGTTCGCGGTGCGATAGCTGGGCGGTGCATTTGAAGGCCGGGTGATCTGCCTGACAGAAAATGCATGGTATGGGTTGGGATCGGGGCGGAGTGGCTGGGACGGAGGAATTTCATATTCCTCAACCATTTTCGATTCCCTTATGAGGAATTTCATCAGCGCCTCCAGCTTCGGAGTGTCTGTCTGGAGTAGAACGTGTTCTTGTTCGTAATAGTCTGCAAATCTGTATTTTGTTATACTTGTTAGTTTTCTGAGGATCTAGTTCTCGAAGGCTGTGGTAAGGGATTCGCATGTATGGCCTAGGGATAGCAAAGCATATATCTGTTGCGATATTTGATTCAAGAAGAATGACAACTTATCGGCTGGGACGATTGCCCCCGAGGCGAGTATTTTTCCCAGAGCTCGTAGAGCTCGTATGTGGTCCTGGGCTGCCATCGTTCTTTGTCCGTACATTTGTAGATGGTTGGGACTTTCTCGTTGCACAGACTTCAGTTGGTAGCACAAAACACGCAGGAGATGACTTCAGCAAGGATGCTGCGAGCCCAGTCTTTATTGAAGTGACCAAGACCAGCCTTTATACCTTCACCAGAAAATACAAGAGAGAGAGTATATCTAACATGGGCCTCTTCTAAGTGAGGCGCTTGCTCTTACGGATACAGGTCCGAGTAGGGGAATACCTATTCTCAACACACCCCTCCATTCACCTGACTCGACTTGATCTGTAGCCCGAGTTGTCACCCCTCCATTCACCTGGATCTCCGCCGTTCCTTTTTGGCGGCTTGTCAAAGCTTCTCCAGTACGCTCTTTAGATCTTTTCCAGCCGCGCGTTTTGATTCGATGGACAGACTCGACCTGCGCTTTCACACTTGAGTACCTCAAGCTTTTGTGTCGGGCCTTTTGATGCCGTTGTTTTCCCGTCTTTCGATGTTTTCGATGCGTTCGATATTTCATGTGAGGTGTAAATGAGGTGTTCAATCGTCTGTTCGTTTCTGGGGTCTGGTGGAGTCGACTGGGTGAGGTATATGCGCGAGGGACCTAGTCCATTCGCCATAGTCCCCCCCTCGAACCGGGCGCTGTTGTCGATTGTTGGGTGGAGCTTGAGTTGGGCTCGCGGTAGATTTTCCATTCGGCTTTCAACGTCCCTCAACTCAGCTCACAGCTCAGGTCCACGATGTCCGTTCCTCGTGGAAATTCTCCAGTGATTCCGTACACCAATACCCCTCGTGGTATATTCCAGAATGAGGTGAGGTCCGAATGAGATTGATTCAACCTGTGAGAACATGATTAGTAGATCATTTTAGTGAGTCTTGATGTTCTTTCAGTTGCTCCAAGACCATCCACTACTCCTTGAGTTTCCCGCCGGAGCCAGCGACGAGGTCGCCCTGCTTGCATGGTTATCCCTGACTCGCGATGAACAATCCCCGTACCGTCAGGCCAGTAAAGCTTCTGTGGGCAAGGCCCGAACCGTCTCGGATGAAGCCCTCAAGCCGCCGCGCCTATGGTCGTATGTAGTTCCTCCGTCCTAGCACTCGAGTCGGTTCCTATGCGCTTCCCGAAAACTTGCTGAGGAGAATCCGCGATCGACAACGGTCGCCTTGAACGGAGTTCCCAAGGCGTTGTGGCTCGCCGAGGGATTCATGTTTCCGCCGAGTTTCCTGCGTCTCTCCACAGCACACCCGTGCTTCGGGCATGATCATAACGTCGAGAAGCCTCCACGTGCGGAATGGAGCCGTCAGAGGTTTTATCAGAGGATTTATCTGGAGCAATGTTGTGCATCACTGAATCTGCAATATTGTTACGCTTATGAGACAATGGTTGTAATACTCGCAATGGTTGTTGGCGGTTGTTGGTACAACAATGCTTGTACGGCGAAATACAGGGTTTTCTGCTACTGGTTGTTCTTCGTGGACGATTAGGGAGGATTACTTGGTGAAGCTCATTGGTGTTCCAAGGGGTATAGTTTCTTTATAGGGCGATTAAGGATCTGGCCCTTGGCCGTCCCGAAGAAACACGATCTCGCGTCTTCGGGTTTGGTGTTTTCTGGGAACGAGATCACCCTACAAAGGGGCCATAGCGCCCTGTTGAATGTTTCCCCCTGTAGGAGGCAGACGTCGCCTATTTTGAGAGGATGGGCCGTTACGGGTTTCTGTTTGTGGGCTGTTTTCAGATATTGTAGGTATTCTTCGTGATACCTTTTCCAGCAAGCGGTGAGGAGGCGCTGCAGATACTTCCACCTTTTTGAGAAGACGACCTTGTCTTCGTCTATTCTTCTTTTGGGTTTGAGCGAATGCTCTGGGATGATTGTTTTCCCCTCATACCCAAGGAGGAGGTTTGCTGGAGTCAGTGCTTCGGCCTCGCCGATTCCTGAGGTGATTGCCGTGATTGGTCTGCTGTTGACCATGGCCTCGACGCCTGATATCACTATTTCTAGGTCCCTGAAATGAGGGATCGCCGAGCCGAGTATTTTCCGAAGGGGTCTTTCCACGGTTTGCACCTGTCGTTCGAGAAAGGATCCGAACCACGGCGCGGCTGCAACCTGAAATCGCCATTCGATGATTGAATCTGCCAGCCACTTTCTGATTTTTCCATCCTTGATGTGTTCGTATTTCAGTTTCAATTCCTTGGCTGCTCTCTGGAAGGACTGGCCGTTGTCCGATGTTACAGTATGGACGGAAGGGAAGCGGTTGACTTTCTGTAGGGCTCCTAAAACCTCGACTGTGGAGAGGTCCGTAGTGAGTTCGAGGTGAACTGCCCGGCTAACCGCGCAGGTGAAGAGTAATATATAGCTCTTCCCGACCTCGCCGGAGTCTTTCTAATATCTGAGTGGGCCGAAGTAGTCGCAACCTGTATGGAAGAATGGTGGGGCTTCCTCTAAGCGGAAAGGTGGCAATGGCGGGCTTGGTAGATTGGCCGCCTCGCTGTGGAAGATTCCGCATGTTGCGCAGGTGTTGATAACCTGGCGAATGATCTTCCTGGCGTGGACTAGCAAGAAGTCCTCGCACAGGATTTGGAGGACTGCGTTCATGCCGCCGAAGTGGAAGCATTTTCGTTCGTGTATGTCCTGAACAATTAGCCTCGAAAGCTTACGGTCGCTGGGTAGGATGATGGGTAGTTTTTGGTTCAGCGACAGGTGGGGGGAACGCTCTTGACGCGATCTGCAGCGTATCAGACCGGTGTCGTCCATAAATGGGTTGTATTGATATATGGCGCTTTTCCGTTTGACATTTTTGCACCCATTTGTGTATTCTTCTAGAAAATATGATTTCTGAATCAATTGGATGAGAGACTGCCTTGCAGGGATCATTTCGTTCGGTTCGAAGGAAATGTTCCCTTTTGGTGGTGTGGCTGCCCGAAATGCGATCCCTTGAGAAACTCTATCCTTCGCTCCTTGAGCAATCCGCATCATGCGCTGCATGAGTGCCCAGAAGCGAATTGCCTTCAACCAAGAGGAGAAGCTGTTCTCGAAGAATATCTCTCTTGGCATTCGCACTGGTTGAAGAGACCATGCAAGAGACATTCTGGCGGCGTTCGATGTCGAACCCAGATTCCGACGTGTCGGCTATGTGTGCTGGGAGAGCCGAGTTGATCTGCGCTGAACTTCTCAGCCAGAGCGGTCCCCCTGTCCACAGAAGTCTGTTTAGAGTCTATGAAACGTCTGCTCCTCGCAAAATGAGATCGGCTGGGTTCTCCTCCGATTTGACGTATCTCCAGTCGGCCTGACCGACGAGGGAGTGTATTCGGCGGATCCGATTAGCTACGTAGGGTTTCCATTTTTCAGGTTTGGATGCTACCCAGCCCAAAACGCTCGAATTGTCTGTGTATAGGTGAATTGATTTGATCTTGATGTCGATTCGGTTGTAGATTGAGCTAACCAGTCTTGCCGCTAGGAGCGCTTCGAGGAGCTCCAGCCTGTGGATGGAGATCGGTCGGACCGGGCTCACTTTTGCCTTTGCCTTTGGTGACTTTTGCTTTTGCCTTTGCCTTTTGTGACTTTTGCTTTTGCCTTTGCCTTTTTGATCTTGGGGGGTGCGTTCTCGAAGACTTCTCTAAGACAAACCGCACATCCGTAAGCGGCGAGGCTTGCGTCTGAGAATGTGTGTAATTCTCTGCGTGGTTCTGGGGTTATCGTCGTCTGTAGATGCCTCTTGATCGATAAGTCGCTTCGACTGAGTAAGTTAGTGAAATTCGAGTACTCTGCCAGGTGAGCATCCTCCAGGGGGGCATCCCAACTGAGTTTCGATTTCCACAGTTTCTGGAGTAGTATCTTCGAGTTTATTGTTGATGGTCCCAGAATTCCCAGTGGGTCGAATATTTGAGCGAGTCCCCTGAGGAGTTTTCTTTTCGAAGGTGTCCCGGATTGAAGTTCCTGGATTGCCTTCGACGTCGGAACTGAGAGTTCGTCTGAAGATTGATTCCACGGTATGCCGAGGAATTTGCTTGATGAGAGGTTGACGATAATTCACCCGTTGTGCTCTTGCACGTTGAGTCTGGTTGGCACATTCTGGCAGTGCACGTCTCCCCCGCGCGCACGAGGCCGCGCACCACGAAGGTAAGTCGTCACTCTGTGTCTAACCGTCAAACGAGACGGTTGTGAATGTGCGTGCTCAACGTGTTAAGTTAAAGCCTTGAAGTAAAATACGTTGCACAGGGAGGAAAAAAAGTCGCTTAGTTCGTTGACATTTCCGGTGAGTTGATCAGCAGTATTTGGAAGGTTTTGTTTTGATATTTTCGGTGTTGGAGTCGCCAAGCCGGTGACCTCTGATGTCCTTTCCGTAGATCGGACGTTGTAAATCATCGTATTGAGGACCGCGAGGGAAAAAAAAATTCAGGGTGATTGATTTCCAGAGTGCGTTTTCAGAGATTGTCCGGGCAAAAAAATGCTTCGCTCTCCAGTAGTCACCCGTCAGCGCGCCGCCAATCACTACGAGATTTTCGTAGATGATCCTCCGCAAGCGGAGAGTTCCACGGTTGTTGTGGAAGAGCCCGCTGAGACGGCTCAACTCGATGTTGAAGTCGGAGCGGAGCGGGACCCCAATCTGACTTTCGTTGTCAGATCCCGGTTTGAAAGTTCCAACTGGGTCCTTTTTTTGAGCGTCGGGTGCTCATTGATTTGCGTCACGACGCTGCTTGTGGTTGTATTTTCGGGCGGATTTTCTGCCGGGGGTGGCACCCCCTACCCAACAGCCAGCCACTCCAGTCCGCCCCCCTCCGGGGAAAAAAAGATTCGTCTGGATCTGAGCGGGTTCGTCTGTGTCCGGGGTGGGGGGTACTTTTGTTTGTCCCCCCTCCTCGGACTTTGCGTCCAAAGCTCGTCATTACGGGCAAGTGAGGCCCTACTGGCTAGGAGATTGGTGAGTTCCTCGACCTCCCCTCTAATCTCCTCGATCTTATGCTTAATTCCCTTCTGCGTGTTCGGGTATTGTTTCGTGGCTTGTTCGTGTAGGAATTCAATCCCTTCAGCGATTCCATTCAATACCGTCTCCATGCTAGATTCCGTCTGTTATGGTTTGAATGATCATGGATTAAAAAGACGAGTCATTGATCGTACCGGTCGTGCATGCCCAGCGTGGCTGACTGACCCTTGTCGTCTGCTGCGCACACTATGTTGTGCTCTGCGGCGGACGGGGCATGCGCACAACGTTTATTGTCTCGAGTGCTCTATGTATCTACCTATACATATGACATCCTTTCTTGATTTTAATTAGATCCCGTCGCTGCCTGCCAATGTACGAAGGAGGATTGAAGATCGAACAAATCGGGCCGAGGGTGGTTGACAAGTCACAATTTTCCTTTTTAACCCTGGGTTCCGCTGTTTCCCTCTTTCGCTTCCTTCCTCCTATTTGACACTCTATGGATTTCGCTCTTATGGAGTTCAATCTGCGTGCGATTTCTTTTGAACATTTTTCCGTCGTTTAACTTAATTGCGTAGGACCTTGATTTGGGAAATGCATCGGTTATGACACCCTTTTTCCAACTTCTCGTCTTGATTCTCATCCATATCTGGTCTCCTTTCTTGAGTGGCTTGATGTTCTTGGCTTTCCGATCGAAATA